ATATATATATATATATATATATATATATATATATATATATATATATATACACAAAGCAATAAATATATGAGAAATGACTAATACCTGGTGGAGATGGTAACTTTGTATAATTAGTATCATAATCCGAATCTGAACTATCACTATAAATACGTTTCTTTTTAATTATTCGTTTTTTATGACAATCTGAATTTAAATCTGAAGTATCTTTTTGGCTTTTAGTCTACAAGCTTGATAACTTTCTGAAAGAAAAAATTATAATTTTTAAGTTTTTAGTTTACTACAAGGGAGTTATTAAATATTATATGAGTAATATACTATATAACACATAATATTCCACAATATTTCAGAAATATTCCAGTAATACAGCAATGTTCCAGTAATACAGTAAAAATTTAACATTTTGCAGCAACTAGAATAATCTCTAATATTATGTGCTATATGAGAACTGTCTCAAATGCACACAGATCCAATTGCGCACCATCAACGAGTGTTCTGCGTTATCTACTGAATTACTAATTCATTAGATAAAGCAGAGCACTGATTGGTGGTATGCTATTGAGTCTATGAGCATTTAAGCCTCACCCAACTCTATAGATAAAAATATATGTTCTGTTTCTTTTACCCGATGTACTATTTTTGAAGACGTACACTTCGTATCCATGAAGAATCAAAATGAACATTATCTTTTATAGCTTTTAAAATTTTTTCTGTTGTATACGGTGGCCAGTAACATCCGCCATTAACAATCCAATTTGATGGCACTGCTTGCACAACATTTTCGTCCTCAAATCTTACAACTGTCCATGTTTTCGCCATGTCTTCGTTAATGACAAATATACTCATAAATGTTGTATTCGCAAATTGTATAAGAATATGACGATATTCAAAAAACAATAAATGACTATTGAAAAAAGCGCACAAGAAAGACAATGAAAAAGCAAATTTTTGTAGTGCAATATTAATTACGAATTATTGTAAGAAGTAATTGATTATACGTACATTATATACTACATTCTTATTTCTTAAAATTTGAATGTAGTAACTGAAAGATTACATATATATCTTTGAAACATAATTTTACACATTTGTTACGTATTTCATCGAGTCGCCATAATGCAAGTGGTCTTAAATTTGTAGCAGCATATATACTCAAAGATGACGATTTACAAAGTATAAAAATTTTCAAGCAATAAAAATTGTTCAGCTATGAGTAATATGCCATCAGTAGTAGATACGATATTTTTTATATTTATTATTTTATTATTGACTGTGGAACAACAATTGTCCGGCTCAGTTATTCTTAATACGAATTTACTTAAAATTATTTCTTTATATTGTGCAAAAAAGGAAATGTTATTAATTATTGTTATTGGTCCCATGTTATGTTGTTTTTTTAGAGCTGGCAAAGAATGCAATTGATTGGAATTCCAACGGAATATTATTACTTAATTCATATTTACGGCGAATTATTCGTTGTAATGGTTTCTCCGGTTTTCTTATTAATTTTTTTATTGATTGTAAATAATTTTCAAATATAAATGTACTAAACTGATATAATGTTCCAAATCTTTCAACATCATCATAAATGTGTAACAAATTATGTATATTGTGAGAGACCTGATCCTTACCATACAAAAGTATAAATGTTTTGACAAAATATTGCATCAGAGATTTTGCATAATTGAGATACTTTTTAGAATTTGGTTGACATAAGATGGAAGTGGCTACGTGCAGAGATAGAAAATTCATATGTCATGACTAATAACAGATTTAAGAACTATGGGGCCTGTATAAAAGGAACTGTCGAAATTCTGTTGCCTTCCACCGTTTGACTTCATTGAGACCACGAGGTTTACGATTAAATTCTGTCGTTATATTACGTGCTAGATTAAGCAATGATTTAGAAATATTATATGTTTAATTGTATGATAATTTTGTTGATGGATTTCCATAAACCCAAAGTATAAGCAATTTTTTTACAACCCCCAGACAAATGAGGTGCATATAATATAAGAGAAAGTTATGTATCATGTCAAGATCTAAAAGGGATTCTAATATTGTAGTACCTACATGATTTTTTTGATGTTTACGTCTAAATTCACTGTCACAACGCAAAGTGAAGTTATCAATATTGGATAAACAGAGACGATTATTAATAAATACTCCTGGTTCATTGCATTTTGTACATGAGTAATATCCTGATTGTCCCTTAGTGTAAGTGATAAATGACTTTGCAGGTGTGTCGCAAATAAATGCTTTCACTTTTATTGAATATACTTTTGAATTGTAATTTATACCATTACACATTAGAATATTAATATCATTTACTAAATCTGTTAAAAACACATTTGCATCATTTGGTTTTGCATTTCCATGATATATCCCAACAATTTCAACATTTGAAGTAGTAAAAATACTACATAATATAGGATAAAGCTGACTACTTGTACTCTTAGCAATCGGTAAACCATCAATATTGATTAAAATCTCTATACAATTTGAAGTTAAACAATTATTACTTTTTATCAATAGGTTTATGATGCAGTGTCCTAATCCAAAATGATAATATATGCCAGGCTCTACATGTTTAACATTAATTTGTCTCGGAGTTCTTAATAAGGTCCTAGCATCCAAGGGAAGCTCAGGATGGTCTGGTTTTAAAATAATTAATAAATTGTTAATAGCTATATGTTCAATGTTATGTAACATTGCCCATTCCTTTATTCTTAAAATAAGATTTTGAGGCTGTAAGTTGTTGTATATATTGTTGTTTAGACTATTATTTTCATTAGAACTTTTAGATATATCAGTTAAAAAAGAAATATTTGACACCACTTCATCAAATATTCCTGTGTCAGATATATGTGACAACTCATTATTACACACATTGACAGATGAGTTATGTTGTACATTAGATGTGTCTGTACAAATATTAGTAGAAGTTGATGCTACAGCATATAAATCTAAATGTTGTGCAATTTGAATTGAATTGGTGGCAACAGAATTTCCTTCCACATAATTACTCAAAATACAAGCCAAATTTGCTCTTTCACTTGCTTTTCTATATACACTTCTGTGTTTAAATGATCTACTTTTATTTGGCATATTACAAGAAATTGTGTCAACTACTAAATTTAGGTTTCACTATTAAAGTCTTTCTTATGCAATTTTAAGGCTAACATTGAGTATAAAATATTTATATTTTATTTTCATATAAAAAGGAACACTCTGAAATAGTTTATTATTTATTAAAACACAATATTCATATGCAGTATTTATGTATAAAATACAAGAAGGATCTCGTATCTTGCATATAAAATAATTGAAAGATTTCCTATAAAAAACAAACACATCAATTTGAAAAAAATTGTACATTATTGTACCAAATTATTATCTATCAGTAGCATCACATCATAAACAATTTTGTTCCAGTAAAAATTACAGTAGTATTACTAAATTTCTGCAAAAACCAAAGAAATTGAGGTTTTTCCTTTTCTTCTTTTAGATGGATCCTCAAAATATTAATGAAACTGTACAACTTTACAACTTTGTTCTTTTACGTATTATATGTCTAGAAAAAATTACCATTTTCATACAATAAACAGTTATAAGAGGAGAATTTTTTATTTCCTAAACATTTCACTTTTTATTTGGTTTTGTTCTGAATCCTTCAATTTTTGGTAATATAAAAATATACTCACTGTACCTAGTAGCCAGATAAGGCACAACCAGGGAATGATCACAGCTGTAAGATATTAGATACCTATTATCTCTTGTAAATGTCTGTAGATTCCAAACAGTGACTGTTCTTGTGTTGTGAATGATCTTGTCTACTATAGACAACAAATGGTATGGGACACTTGTACCTTCTTTATGCATTATATGTCCAGAAAA